ACAAGTAGCAACTTCCCGTTTCTGGAACAATGGGAGACATGGTGCATGTGGATGATGCCGAAACAGCACCGTACTTTTGATGAGCGGCATCACAACCACTGCTTTACTCGCATGCTCTTTTAGCACACAAAGTAATGTCAGTAGTTTCGTCTCCTTCAATGGAGTTGGACCGTGCGGTGACTAACAACTTTAGCTAGCATTTAACTACTACTACTTACTACTTTTCATTATAGTACGGAGTGCTAAAAGATACTTAGAGTTGAGAAAATTCTCTGGAAAATTTCTGAGAGTTGGCACTTTTCCGTTTGGTAGCACAGAAATGTAGGTCGATCCCTTCTGGTGGACAAGAACTTTTCATAAGAATTTCAGCAATCATTCGAAAGCTTGAATCACTGGTTAGCGTGGTATGTGCTCTTTTTCGGAAAGACCCATTTATAATGCTTCAACGAAAAGAAAACTTTTGTGTTTTACACGTGCGTATTTCTTGAAGTAGAGAGCTCCCTCTCTAGACTATTAGTAATCGCTCGATAACGTAAGATTTAGCGATTTCAACGCTGCGCCTGTTCTCTAGAAAAACCATTTCTCTGCATTGTAGCAAAGAGAATAAGATTTATTTATATACACAAGTATGTGTTTTGCGGTTAATCTACGGGGTAGAAGGTGAGGCAGAGCCAGGGCGTATGGCTGTTTCGACACGGCCATCGATCGACAGCGCCGGAAAGTTACACATGGTGCGATTTTTGTTATTCAATTAGGAATTTTTTCGCTGCTACGAAAGAAACTTCAGATAAAACGTATGACTTCAATAATATAAGATTTCTTCTACATGTTCATGTGCTTTTCGTGCTTGTAGCGAAGTAATAGTTGAATTGTGCGGCCGATATAAATCGTAATTTTATTCTGAATTTCACACCGTTACAAAATTATTTTTTTACAAAAAAACTGTTGCGTACCACGCTAGCCAGAGATTTAAGCTTTCGAATGATCGTAATATTCTAATGAAAAGTTCTTGTTCACCGAAAGAGATCGGCTTACAATTTTGTGCTACCAAGCGAAAAAGGACGTGGAAGTTTTCTTTCTATGCGCAATTCAGCAACAAAGACAACATCAACTGTTCTTCAATGTATAAACCACAATTGTCCACGACTTTCTGCCATCCTTCTTTTTCTTCATGTGGACAAAGTTTTATATGCGCAATTTGTTGACAACCGCCCTATGCGAACCATCAAGCTCTTCAGCCGAATCGCGAGTGCTCGGTGAAGGCTCAGTATTAAGTGATCCTCAGTATGCGGCCAGAACGAGGCATGTCTTCGAGATTGAAACTGCATTCATTGAATCACTTAGACCATCTGCCCACAGTCGATTTTGTCGCCATACCAGCACCTTCACCCTACTTAGTCTCATCGACGGCTTCAAGAATCGTTAAATTTTTCCCCAATATTGGCGGATCAACACATGCAAATCATACTGTTCAATAGGCATTTTGGAGCTGGAATCAATGAACTGGATAAATATATACAAAGCGATCAATAAAAACTACAAGAATATGTCCAAAAAGTAACTTTCAAAAATTCCCGCAAATTTCTGATCAACCCAATATAATTTTGTTACTTTTTATGTTTCAATCCAAGTCTGTGCTGTTCCAATGAATTGCTTAGATTTTTAATCATAAGGCCTATCCTAGTGGTCCAATATTAGGAACTTACAAGTGACCGACGTTTGCTGTCCTTGAACCCATTTCAACTTTGAATACTCTTGTTCTCCATCATTAGCATCATGGATACTTATTCATTTTGAAATCACGCAATCTGGCAGAACCCTTGAATTTTGGAATCACTCTTAGACTGGAACAACAACCGGATGAAGATGCAACTTGGTGAAGCTGCGAAGACATTTTAGGGTCAAAAGAAATGTCGCATTTCAAAATCATTCCTATGCTTAAATTTTGTACGTTCTATTGATTGTTGAATCTTGCTGTCACTCGAAGAGTGGAGACGACATCTGAGAACTGAGTGGCAGATAAGACGATTTTTGAAAAAAGAAAGAATTATACAATTTGCCTCTATATAACTCAAACTAGTTTTTACACATAGTAATGTGTATATGGTCATACAGTACTTCGGAGTGATTGTAGTTGATTACTGACGCCTGCATTTTCTTCAATAGATTGATAATTGCATATCGACTTGATCTTTGGACTGGATGGCTTTGATATGCTGCTAGACATACGTCATAGAACCGAGCACTTTTCTTGGATTGCATTTCTTTCCATGGATTCTCGCTGCTAACGTATGCTTTAGGCTCCGAAGATCTGCCTCGAAAGCACACCTTAATCCCTTTTCAAATTGATTTTCCAGTGATCTAGATATCAAATACCATCAATCACTCAGTGGATTGTTAGAGCCAACTCGGAGTGGTAATTAGACTTATTCGACTAGTATCGCGGAGCTTTCGTTCTCTGCAGTGCCGCATAGATCTGAGTCGCTAGACTGCAGATGGCCGTTATCCCGATATGGGTGCTCGAGCATCAAATCGAATTTTATAGAGTGAGTACCGCTCAACTAAAGTTTCCACACTCTGTGGTGCCCTTTTATATAGCATGGATGTTGACCAGTTAGCATTCAAAATCATTTGCTTTTGGCATACAATGAATACAGTATTAATCGGAATTTTATGACCGGCACATAGCGTTGTAAAACCACCGGCAACTAGCTTTTGTTAAGCTTTGATGTGAATAAGCTATCACCTGTATCACCTGTCGTCCCGTTGATCGTCGAGTGACTCGAGCGGGTACCAGCAACTCTTCCATTTTTTGCTATCGCGTGCAAGAGAAGCCCAGTGGGTCCTCCTTGCTCTAGGAATTCGCTGAGCATCATATCTTTCTTCCATCGCTTTCGTGAAGAAATCGGACCAACGGGTCAGTGGTCTTCCTTTAGAGCGCTTGACGTCCCGAGGAATCCAGTCGGTAACGGCTCTCGTCCATCGGTTGTCGTTTGAAGCGCATCACGTGTCCGGCCCACCTTATTTTCGATATCCTGGCGTGTAGAACGGCGTCTCCGATTTTCGATCGTTGACGTAGGTCGGAAGTTCGGATCCTTTGTCTCATTTGCGAAATACGGGATACTCCTAGCATCGACCTTTCGACTGCGCGTTCGATAACGGCAAAGTGATCTTTCATCCTGCTTACGTAGCGACCAGGTTTCTGCTGCATACGTTAGGGCAGGGATAATTGTCGAGTCGAAAAGGTGGACACGGAGTCGGATGTTCTTTGTCCTCTTCACTACATCTTCGATGCTCTTAAAACGTTCCCCAAGCCGCTCGTTTCCTCCTGCTCAACTCTGAGGCTAGGTCGTTCATCATGTTGATTTCACGACCTAGATAGATGTAACTGGAGCATTCGGAAATTGTCGTTCCGTTGAGCGTGAATGGGGCATTAGAAACCCATCCGTTCCTCATGAACATTGTTTTCGTTAGATTCAGTTGAAGACCGATCTTTCCACAGGCGTTATCGAAATCAGTCAACATTCGTTCCGCTTGGCTGATGTTTGGTGTTATGAGAACGATATCGTCAGCAAAGCGAAGATGGTTTAATATGCGTATATACTAAAGATCTATTGAGGTCTTCAAAAATCAGTCGAATAGAAGGCAATATTTGTACGATAACAGCTGCAAAAAACATTGACTGAAAGAAAGACTGTGCAACAAGAGATCTTTCAGTTGACGAGCACTGAGGCATTTTCCCCATTTGCCACTCTTAATATGGGAGGTGTGATACTAATGAGACGGGTGAAGCCGTCGAAACGTACGTATATCACGAAAACGCAATACCAAACTGCTTAAAGGCTTTGAATAAAAGTCTGTGGAATATAAGTAATTAATACTGTCTTGAATTAGATGTGAGCAACACCCTATGGACGGTCTGTTTTGCCGTTTGATTGAAGGGCGATATATATGCGCATTCGCTTCAATGCGCTCATATTTTCCTTCGTACCTAGGAAGTAAAGTGACATACTGGTTTTTGATAAAGTCGTTCCATTGTCCGCCCCCCCCCCCCAGAAAAGAAAAAGAGAATGGAAGAAACTACAGGTTAGGAAGAGGTATTTTTCAGAGAGAGGAATTTGAAGGACTTCTCAATTGTGCATGGACCATGGCATCCTTGTCGTTTTAAGAGTGTCAACGATTTCGCTTTAAAACAAAACTCCTAAAAAAACCACTTGTTAGCGTAACCTCAGCAGCTGGTGTGGCTCCATTTGGAGTTGAAAGTTCCTTGAAAGATCTTTAGCTAAAGCGACGTTTAGTGAAAAAGCTCAATATCCTCTAATTGCTCACATCAATCATGTTGGGGATTTATTGCGATTGTTACGACCCAAAAAATCTAATCGACAAATAGCGCTCCTTGGGGAGCCACTAATGAACGTTTCAGCCTTTTTTTAAAGTAATCCATCACCCCCTGAGTTTTCTACGCACACTCATCGTAATTAGTACACTTTTCTATTACTTAAGTTACTGAAGTCACTCAGTCAATATTGCTCAGTCATTGCAAAAGTGTACACTACAGATAATAAAGCTTCATACAGCCCATAATGTGGAGTAATTTCAACTCAGTAAGAAAATTCGACTTTAAATGCTGCAGTGGACTAACACGAAGGAATATAAGTGGACCACGTCCTAGATGAGTGAAAGATGGAACTCCGGTCTTCTTTCCTTCCTAAGCTACATAATATACTCGATTTTTTGTAAGACATCCAAGTGCTCAGCACAGTTTCTACGCACGTCACCAGCGCAACTCTCGAACTTGCTATAACAGTGGACCTCAATGCGCATGCTTTGTGAGAAAAAATAGTGCAATACACACTACTCAAAATTTCTTCCTTACATAATCACATATGGATGTAGTAAGGAAGGTACCAGCCACAAATATTATATATATATATATATTATATATATATATATATATATATATATATAAACTAAGAGAATTGAGTGGTGAACAAAAACACGGCCTCAGGCGGGTTATTCAACCCACGTTTCATCCTATCCGGGGACGCGTGCTCTACCACTACACCACTGAGGCACATTTGCCCAACCACTCATTCTTCAACATCTCAATGTTAGCTATCAGCCACCAACCTTTGACAGGTTTGGTCGGGTATGCGATTTCGCTTTATAAACCCAGTTGAGCTGATAGCTATTGTAATTACTAATACTTCGAAATTATAGTATTTTCACTGCTTTTTTCGCAGCGTTATTACGTTACTCATATAACTAAGAGAATTTTGTTCACCACTCAATTCTCTTAGTTATATGAGTAACGTAATAACACTGCGAAAAAAGCAGTGAAAATACTATAATTTCGAAGTATATATATATATATATTTATTTATTTATAAAGATAGACCGTATGACTCAATGGTTTAGGTGCTCTCCAAGACACACATGGTCAACGGCCGATACCGCGTGCATGGCGCCCATCAAGCTATACGCGAGTCACGCATAGGCCATATACGCATTTGGTCACCTTTGACTCTTGGTGAAGTCGAATATACGGAGCATTCCTCAGCGATTGATCAGAGCCGAGAGCTTTATTCTTATAAATATTTCTAACTGGGCGAAAATTGCTCAAATGACATTCACACAGCAATCTTGCATGACTGGCAAGAAGTTAATGAAAATGTTTATAAGTATAGGAAGCTATTGTACATAAATATAAAGCACTTCATCTCTAAGAGTCAAATACGGTAGACAAAACATGACTAAACCGATATTATAGGAATTCTTGATATATACAATTATGATCAAGAAGATGATAACACTGGGTAAAAGAAGTGATCACATCAACAATATCGAAGGGCTAGGTCACCGTACTCCAATATTCGACTGATATTTGAGACCTTGCTTATAACAATGCATCTGATAATACAATTTCAAGCATTTCATAAGGACTGATATGGAACTTTTTTGTGCCAGACGTACGTTTCGGCCTTCTGGCCTCATCAGTAGCACGGTGCCTTTCGGATCAGCCAAATCATTTTGGGGGATTAACCCCCACATATAAAGGAAGTATGAAGTGACTTTTTTACTCATGTGTGGTGTAACATGTTTGGTGCCGATTTTTATATGTAAGGGTTTAACTCCCCTACAATGAACTGACTGAACCGAAAGGCACCGCGCTATTGATGAGGCCAGAAGGGCAAAAGGTACGTCTAGCATTAAAAAGGGCTATGCAGATTTCATGAAAGGCTCAAGAAATGTTATCAGGTAACACTACTGTTTGAGCTAAAAAAACTATTAGGCGCCTATACTGACACAATATCGATAAGACAAAAAGTTTTCCTGAGATATGGAGAGAAAAACTATCATTATGACGATTTGGTAAAGATCTTAGTTGATAGGTACTATGAGACGTGTATCATGTAACTACTAATCCGTATCTATTTTTATTTCTACACTATAAAAACGATATAATTTAGAAATTTAGATCGAAACAACGAGTCACACCTATCTTCATTATCTATTTGCTGATTACGTCACATCCCCGAGCTGTGCTCAGGAAGCGGTTAATCACGAGTTCGGTTTACTCTCTCATAAGGGTCGAGTTTCTGCCTCGGCTTTGCTTGATCTCTGACCCACCGAGCGCAAATTCCTCGCAGATCCTCATGCGAAACAAAAGTGGACGTTTCAAATTTCTAGAAAACCTATGAAGAGAGACAAAACGACAAACCAAAGAACTCAATCACTTACCGTAATTAAGTACATTCTCCATAGAGCCCATTTCAATGGCTCAATTTTACTACGTTTCTCAAGAACACGAGCTTCTTGATACAGTAAATCGACGATGAAAACAGCCATCATATCTGCCCAATCTGGACCTTTCTCCAAAAAATCACCATCAATCCACGCGCTTTTCTAAAATGTAAGGCAAAACCTTTCAGTCTAGAATCGAACTATTATTCCGATTATCAAAAGGTGAGTTGAAAGCGCACTCTGTTCGATGACAGTGGGCCAAAGGATAACACCGGGCGATTCTTGAAGAACCTAAAAAGAAAGAGTGAACACTCCGCTAGCTAGGACGTTCTGTGGAAAACAAGCAAAAACAAACAGAAAAGGTAAAGTTAGCTAAATACAGGCTTCGTCTTAATGACCCAAAGACTACAACTATTACACTAACTGGGCTCACTTGTAAGCCCGTTGTTGATCCATAAACCGGTCGTAAAGAAGTGTTCCTACAGAAGTCGTAACATTAGCCTGACTATGTACACTTGCCATAACCTAAAATACTTTTGCTCCTCACAACTTTCCCTACTGGAATGCTGTTAAACGTTTCAACCTGTCTATGAAATATATGACGTGTCGCGCCGACAGCGATTACACCCATAAGCATTCCAAAAAGAGAAGTCCAGAACTAAAACAACGATCTTGACCATATATGTGCATATATATACGTATATGCACTATATACGTATACATATACATATATACATACATATGTGCATGTAATGTACATATATGCACATACACATATACATACATATGTATAAACATGTATGTGCATATACATACATGTACATATGCATATATACATTATATATGTATATGTACAAATATGATGACATATTTTAAGCCCTCCAAGAGGTCTAATATGGCACTTTCAGTGCTAGACGTGCTACACGTACGTTCAGGCCTTCATGTCCAACCCCATCAGTAGCACGGTGCCTTCCAGTCAACCAAGCCCCTACATAAAGGCTAATCGGCGCCGAACAGCTTACGCTGCACGTCCGGTGAAAAGATCCCAAAGCATTGCGTGACAGTTTGTAAGAGATCAGCTGAACTGAAAGGTACCGAGCTACTGATGAAACATGAAAGTCGAAACGTACGTCTAGCACTCGAAGCGCCATACCAGACCTCATGAAGACTCAAACTATTTTATAACATTATACTGTTTCAAGCGAAGTCTCAAGAAACAGTCGAATAGAACAGTATATGAAAATCGTAAAGGAGCTTAACTGACACAGAACTGCATGTAAGATCTAACCACAAAAACTAGTAGCAATTTGAATATGTATGATAAATGGGAATAATATTTTGTATCAGTGTAAATGGCCATTTAAGATCATGACATATTCCACAATCTAAGTTTCAGTATCCATATCGAATTTGACGTTATCTATTGAATCGTTTTTTATTTTTGAAAGACCCGTTATTATATTTCATTGTGCGTTTCTCAATACTTTAGCACTCGACTCCTTTCCTCGCATTCATTGTCTCAAGATGTTTGAATTTTATGCGTGTTGTTTCGAATGGCGCTTTGAAAATTTTGTCTTCTTCGTGAATGTCGTAGAACACTAGTCGGGTAAACCTCCTTGCACTCTCGCAAGAATCCCCTAGCTAAGGCGTTTCGTTAGGCATAAGCTAATTGACTGCAAGTGCTGGAGAGGGTGTCGGACCATGCTTCCTAATAGCGTACATCAATAGTAACTCGGCTAGCGCTCCACTATATATATTCGCAGATACAATACCATATATATATATAATATATATATATATATATACGCATGTGCACATCATATACATATGAAACATACATATGTATATATACAAATCTTGTGGACCTTGTCAATCATACCTAATAAATGGCAGAAAACTGGAATACTATAAAAAATTTTTTCCTTCTTCAAAAGTATAAAATTTCTTCAGAGCAGTTAGCAAGAATTTTGCTGTAAAACACTATGGCTGGAAAAAAAATTCTTGAGAACTTTAGTAAGCATCAGATAACTGTCATGCATGTCATGGGAATATAACAATTTCTTATGTGTGATTTTCCAGTGAAGGCCCAGGTTTTATTCGTCTTTATTTTCACTTTGTTACAAGCCTCCGCCATATCCAACAGTACAATCGGAGTCCGTGTCTTATTGCGTTATTCACCTGTCACTTGCGTCTCCTGTCGTACCGTTGATCGTCGAGTGACTCGAGCGGGTACCAGCAACTCTTCCATTTTTCCCTATCGCGTGCAAGAGTAGCCCAGTGGGTCCTCCTTGCTCTAGTGATTCGCTGAGCATCATATCTTTCTTCCTATCGCTTTCGTGAAGAAATCGGACCAACGGGTCAGTGGTCTTCCTTGCAGAGCGCTTGATGTCCCGAGGAATCCAGTCGGTAACGGCTCTCGTCCTCGGTTGTCGTTGAAGCGCATCACGTGTCCGGCCCACCTTATTTTCGATATCCTGGCGTGTATAACGGCGTCTCTGATTTTCGATCGTTGACGTAGGTCGGAACTTCGGATCCTTTGTCTCATTTGCGAGATACGAGATACTCCTAGCATCGACCTTTCGACTGCGCGTTCGATAACGCCAAGTGATCTTTCATCCTGCTTACGTAGCGACCACGTTTCTGCTGCATACGTTAGGGCAGGGATAATTGTCGAGTCGAAAAGGTGGTCACGGAGTCGGATGTTCTTTGTCCTCTTCACTACATCTTCGATGCTCTTAAACGTTCCCCAAGCCGCTCGTTTCCTCCTGCTCAACTCTGGAGCTAGGTCGTTCATCATGTTGATTTCACGACCTAGATAGACGTAACTGGAGCATTCGGAATTGTCGTTCCGTTGAGCGTGAATGGGGCATTCAGAAACCCATCCGTTCCTCATGAACATTGTTTTCGTTAGATTCAGTGGAAGTCCATATTTCCACAGGCGTTATCGAAATCCGTCAACATTCGTTCCGTTTAGCTGATGTTTGGTGTTTATGAGAACGACATCGTCAGCAAAGCGAAGATGGTTTAATTGTCGACCGTCAATTTTCACTCCCATTTCGTCCCATTCTAATGTTCGCATGACGTTTTGTAGGGTGGCAGTGAATAGTTTTTGGCGAATTGTATCGCCTTGTCGAACCCCTCTTCTTACGTCAATGGTGATATTGTTGTAAAATGGAGATATTTTGGTCGTGAAATCTTTGTAAAGCTCACGAAGGACATTATGTACCGAGTAGGGACACCCTGCTAATCCAGAGCCTCTACAAGCGCTTCTGTTTCCACTGAATCAAAGGTTTTCTTCAGACCGATGAGAGTGAGACAGTATGGTTGTTT